AATTTCATTTATTTTTATTAAAATATTATCTACGGCTGAGTGTGAGGGCATATGCCTGCAATCATAGTACTTGGGAAGCTAGGCAGGAGGATTGCCTCATGTTTGAGGGCAGCCTGTGCTTTGTAGTGAGTTCAAGGCCAGCCTGAACTATATAGCAAGACCTTATTTCAAAAGAGCAAATAAAATGTTATTTAAATTGGGTGGGTGGTGCATGTCTGTAACTCCAGCACTCTGGCAGGCTGAGGCAGGAATATAGAAAGTTCAAACCCAGCCTGGGCAATGTAGTGACTTAGCAAGATCCTGTCTCAAAAGATAAAAAAAGAGTTGGGGGTATAGATCAGTACAGAGGCCCTGGGTTTAATCTAGCACCCACCCTCCCACAGCTATCTAAATATGCATAAACAAAAAATACATTTTATACAATAATTGAAAGTTCATAAATTGCAGATATTAATACTATACCATTAAAGTTCAAGTAAGGAAAGCTTTCTGAGTCTATGGTAAGTGATAGTGTGAAGTTCACCATTCTAACCTGCGATCAGTGTACGTTTTAGTGGCAGTATTTATACTCCGAGATGTTGAGCAGACTTCACCACCATCTACTGCCAGACTTCATCATACCCAAAAGAAACAGTAAATAGTAAGTAGTGGCTGCCCATTCCCCTCCCTCGTCCCTGCTGATCTCTACTTTATGTTGTAACAGTTGGCCTGTTGTAGGTGTTTCATATCGGTGGGGTTAGCATTTGTTCTTTGCGGTCCAGTCTGCCTTGTGTATTTTCAAAGTTTGTGGACACTGTAGCATGTATCAGAATGCCATTCCTTTTTATGGCTGAATAGTATTCCGTTACATGGATATACCATATTTTGTTGATTTATCTGTTGATGAATATCTGAGTTGTTTCTACCTTTTGGCTCTTGTGAATAATGCTGCTATGATCATTTGTTTGCAGATGTGTTTAAGTCCTCGTTCAGTTCTATTGGTATATATCTAGGAAAAGGTAACTTTCTGATTTTGACAATGCTGAGGATAAAACCCAGGGTCTTGCAGGTGCTGGGCCAGCATTGAATCTGGAGCTGCACTCCTAGCCTGAAGGTGAACATCTAGATGAAGCTAGGTGAAGAGATTCTTCAGGATCTTGGAGGGGTTCAGTCTCAGACAGGGTCCTGAGTGTGAGTCATACATGGGGAAAAACAGTCAATTTTACTACATTGAAATTAAGGAGTAAGGGCCAGGGATATAGCTCAGTGGCACAGCGCCTGCCTGGCAAGCGCAAAGTCTTGAGTTCTATTCCTGGTCCCCCCCCAAAAAATTAAGGAGTAGCCAGGTATGGCAGTGCACAACTGTAATCCCAACACTCGGGAGGCTGAGGCAGGAGGACCGTTGCAAGTTCGAGGCCATTCTAGGCTACAAAGTGAGCTCAAGGCCAGCCTGAACTGCATAGCAAGACCCTGTCTCAAAAAGGCAAATAAAATTGAAAAATAATAAAGGAGTAGACTAAGTTAACAGTTAACAGTAAGGTAAAAAGATAACAGCAACAAGACTCGATCTCTGAGTAATTCTGCAAGAAAAGTACCAGGAGCCCAGCAGTAAACAAGTGTGGCTCACTGGCCAGCAGTTCACAGAACAGGTCAGTGGGCAGCGGCTGAGCACAAACACGTTTGCACGGAAGCTTCTCTCTGTGTGTGGCGACAGCATGCTCCACACGAGGCTGCAGAGCTGGAGGAGCGACGCCAGCCTGCTGCCAGCACTTCCTCCTGGGGCGCGCTGCCGGGAGACGTCTGTGTCCTGGTAATTGTGAACCGAACGTGACCGTACAGTATGGTTCAGATAAACTGAAAGTAGGTGTTTATGCAGATATGCATTCTGAAGTGCCCGGAACGAGTGAGTGCCAGGAGTGGCGGGGCAGGCAGAGGTCGCCAAGAGTCAGGTTGCGCATCAGGATGAAGAGCAGGAAACAGGAAGACTGGTGACCGCACCTGGACACTGTGGCTCTTCTGTATGCTGAAAGTGTTGGCATTTATTCTTCTTTGCACCTGTAGAAAAGGCTTTATGTAAATAGTTTGAATTTTGTTAAACTTTAGTGCTGCAGATAAAATTTTTCCAGTTTACCACCGGCCCTCTCTAGAAGGGTATAGGAGGTTAGAGACGTCCACACCCAGACCATGGGACCTGAGAAGGTTACTTTTATGGGAATAAAGAGGTCTTTGCCATGACTGACCTTGGTACCTGGAGATGCAGAGGTTGCGGGGGTGGCCTGGGTAGGCCCTCAGTCATGGGTTGGCCCTCAGTCGTGGGTGACAGTTGCCCCTGAGCTGGGTACCAGCAAATGCCAGTCATCATGAGGTGCTGAGAGGGACCTCGGCTCTCCTTTCTGCAGAGCCTGTGTTGGGAGGTTGTGCTGCTTCGTACCTCAGCTCTGGAACTGTACGTTCCTGCTGTTTAAACCCACAGAACCCGGCGGCGTTGTCAGCACAGCCCTTGGCGACTGACCCAGATGGGAGCACGTGAGGTGCCCTTTCGGTCTAAGGCTTCTGCCTGAGAGACGGTGCCGGTGCTGTGCAGCGGTGGTTACTGGGGACACTTACGAGTGGTCCTCCTTCCTCCACGGGTTTCAGAAACCTGGCTGGCTTCCTACTCTCCAATTTGGCTTCATGGTCTTTTGTTTGGTTGGGGTTTTTGCTTCTGTGTTTGGTGCTGGAGATGGGTCTTGCCCCTGCTAACAGCTCTACTCCTGACCTACACCCCAGCCCAGGGTATCACTCAGCAGAGAAGTAAACTCACAGTCTCGGTTTTTATACTCTGTTGTCATCGTACAAATGGGCATGGGCAGATTTACAAAGTAAACATTTCCCAGTGTGGATATATGGGAACATTTCTAATTGTATAATTAACAGTAACACCCTCGTAATGAGAGACTTTACCATTGGCACAGTGATGAAGCATGTGTTTTTTTTAGATTTTCCTGAGGGAATAGGCATTTAAATAGTTGAAACCTTCATGGCTGATGTTTTTCTTAACAATTAATAGGGGGGATGATGTCTTCATCAGTGATAGTTTATAGGGAGTGTGCTGTCAATGACACACACTATAGAGGCCTTAACCTCCGAGGTCTAAGTGGCAGCTTTGGCTGGGATGTTCTCAGCTAAAGTCGTGGTCTTTGAAGACTTTGGAACCGAAAAGGTCCCAGGAGGTCAGCTGGTTCTTTCTGTACAGTTTGCATGAGACCAGCAGGACTGGGGAGCGCGCAGCTCGCTGACCGACAGCTCTGTAGTGGCAGCCCTCTCCTCCAGGCAGTCCCCTCAGCCGGGAAGACGTGGTGAGTCCTCTGGGCAGGGCTGTGCCTGAGGACCTGGCTGCGAGCGTGGCTGGGATTGTTCTCATCAGTGAGCACCCTGCAGAGAGATCTGTGTTTCATGTCGGGTCCCCAGCACAGTACTTGGAGTGTTGGAGGCATTAAATATTTGTGCAATGTTGCTTTGGGGTTTTTTGTTTTGAGACGTCTTGCCATGCTGTCTAGCCTGACCTCAAACTCCTGGGTTCAAGTAGTCCTCCTGCCTCAGCCTCCTGAATAGCCAGATGACAGGTGCGTACGAGCACACCCAGCTCTGTTGGATCATGTTTCAAGTGAAGAGTGCTTCAGAGCAGTTTTCTTTGAGCACAGTTGTATAACCCTGCGAGGAAGTTTTTTATCTGTACTCACTGACATTTACGTTTCCTGTCATGAGCTTCAATAGCTGCACAGGATGTAATTTCAAATATTGGCATATTTAGATAAAACTGTTACATCAATTTTTACATGTATCCAACAGACTAAATACCACAGGGTTTTAAATACCATCCACTTTAAAAAGACATGAATGAGTTCTTCACAAACCACTTGTAAGTCCGACATTGCTTCCTTTTCTGCTTGAGTTTTGCTTTCTACTCTCTTTCTCCTCCTGAATTTTATCCTAATATAATTTATCTTTGTGCTTGAAAATCTGTTAATCACCTTGGTTGAAGTATTAAAGCTTGCGTGTGACTTCTGGCCTGCTGTCATGTCAGTGGCGTGGTTGAGCATCACAGCCTTAGGAATCCAAGGGGAGGCAGACTGCCCTGGGCCGGGCGTGGTGTTCGCTGTTTCTCCTCTCTGGGGCCGTAGCACTGTGAGGTTCCGGTGGCTCTGAAGGGAGGTCAGAGCACTGTCACCGGGTGCCCAGGCACCCTGAGGGGGCTGCCCGCCACTGCACTGCAGCTCGACCTCGAGACGCTGGGTGCTTTCTGTTTGCTTGTCTTTGTCTTGGGTACTGGGGTTGAACTCAGGGTCTCTCTACTCCCAGTACCCCAGCCCTTTTTATTTTTTATTTTGAGGCAGGATCTTGCTGAGCTACGCAGGCTGGCTTTGGATTTGAGACCCTCCTGCCCCAGCCTGAATAGCTGGGACCTACAGGCATGCACAAGCACTCCTGGCTTGGGCAGATCCGTTTATAGAGCATTGGAACTGAGTAGCTAGAAATCACTACCTACTGAACTTGGGGTCCACACACACTTGGTAAATCTCATCTCTCTTAGGGCTGCGTCAGAGGACTGCTGCCTCAAAGGAAGCATTGAGGGGTCACACTCGGGACTGTCACCCCTGGGCTTAGTGGACAGGACGCTTGCAGTGAGCGTGTGCTGCTTGGTTCTAGTCCTTTCCATCCATCAAGGGATGGCCACTGTGGCCTCCCGGGAGCTGGCCCGGCCCCCAATGCCTCTTGTGTCCTGCGTGTGCTCTGCTGTATAGCAGGGGCGCAGAGACCCTGGGCGGGAGCTCGGCCCGTTGGGAATGCGTGGATGCAGAGCTGTGGCAGCAGTCCTCACAGGTCCGGTTACCCACAGCGCCACTCAGTGGCTTTCTCCTTATTTTTTTGCACTTAATTTAGGGTTGAGTTCTGTGGCTACTGAAATATTAAAAACTGAGAAGAGACTCAGTTGTACAAGGTATTTTGTAAAATGAGTACCTGTAGTTTTTCTCTTCTAGATCGTCGGACCTTCAGATGGAAGTAGCTACATCATAGATTATTATGGAACCAGGCTGATAAGACTGAGTATCACTAATGAAACATTTCGGAAGACACAGCTTTACCCTTAACTATTTACAGAGAGAACAGTAAGTGACGTGTCTAATTAATTACAGTCTGATGCCACGGATAGTCCGCCTTTAACGATCTACCTGGGTAACAGCTGCTGGGACTCAGGACCGACGCATGCAGTGCAGACTTACAGACGTCTTCATTTGCCCGGTCCTGCGCATCCTGTGGACAGAGCCTCCGTGTCTTGCTCAGCATGGTGCCCTGGTTGCACACGCAGTGCTGTGATTTTTGCTGACCCTGCCGCGCAGCGCAGCTCTGGAGTTCTGAGTTCTGTTCACGTCACAGTCTTGCATGTAAGAGTGATGCAATAAAAGCAAAGTCACCAAGTTGGAGTTTGCTGGGACCGTTTCTTTGTTCCGAGTGTTGTAACGCACCCACTGCATGCTCCTCCATGTTTAGCGACCAATTCACTTAACAGCCTGGTCACGGGAGCAGAGTTCGGTCGTTACTCTAGGAGAGTTTGTGCTGGTAGAGCTAAGAAAGCTGCAGAACTGTGGAAATCAGAAGAGCTTCTCTCGTTCGCTTGTCAGGAAGCTCAGGCCTTGCCTGCCTGCGGGTGCCAAACCCCAGGAAGAGGTCTTTATGTCTGCTCCTTGCTCTTGCCCTCCCCAGTTCAGACCCTTTCCTTGCAGCAAATGTAAAAGGCCAAAATTCACAAGAAAACAACGCCGTCCGAGGATGAGGGAGAGGCAGCTGATCGTGTGAGGGCTGGGGTGAATCCTGGTGCCCTCGGTGGGCGGGACCGCAGCTCTTCTCTGTGCCCCTTACCCTTCCTTTGCTTCTTCCCGAAACTTGGAAGCTGCTGACGTCCAAACCCTCACTCCTGGGAGCACCTGCCCTGACCTCCGTGCAGCCTGCCCGTGAGAGTCGCCGCCCGGCTTCAGCTCTGAGCAGGAGTGCGCTGTGGAGCGGGGTGCCGTCAGTCTTCCTGGGCAGCCTTCTGCTCCTCGGGGCTCTGCTGCGCCAAGGCTTTCTTCTAGTGCCTTGCCTTAGTCCCTTCTCACGGTCTCCCAAGACTGCAGGTTTTGGACAGTGCTCTCGGTGACGAGAGGGCTTCAGTGCAGAACAGCCTGGCACGAGGGCTGTGGAGGTCGTCTAGGTCCCTGTGAGCCATCAGCCAGAGGGAGCCAAGTCAGGTGTCTTGGCCCCACTGCGGCGAGGGTTTCTGACTGTCGGCTGAGGTCGGAAGGGAGGAGATGGGCGTCTTCTCTGTTGTGTTCTGTTAGAAGGACACGAAGTGTAGTCGCATCTGCTAGTAGGTGCTTTTGCTCTAGTATGGCATGTGCCTCACTGTCCTGAGCTTGCACAGCGACGGCCCTACGGGATATGAGATGTGTGTCGAGCTGACATCCAAGTAGGTTTTCAGAGCCCTCCTTATTAACAACAGTAGGAGCCGTTCATGTCTCTTTTTGAGACAGGGTCTCATTATGCAGTTCAGGCTGGCCTTGAGCTCACTTTGTAGCCCAGGCTGGTCTTGAACTCGCAACGATCCTCCTGCCTCAGCCTCCTGAGTGCTGGGATGACAGGCGTGCGCCACCTCGCCTGGCTTCAGTCTTTTTTTTGAGAGAGGGTCTCACTAGTAATCCAGGCTAGCCTTGAATTCACTATGTTGCCAAGGCTGGCCTCCAGCTTGTGGCAATCTTCCAGCCTCAGCCTCCCAAGTGCTGGGATTACAGACATGTGCCACCATGCCCAGCCATTGAGTCTTGAAACAGAGCTTTGACATCGGTCTTTGTTTTGTTTTGTTTTTTGTCTTTTTGAGACAGAGTCTCACTATGTAGTTCAGGCTGGCGTTGAGCTCATTTTGTAGCCCAGGCTGGCCTCGAAGTTGCAACCGTCCTCCTGCCTCAGCCTCCCAAATGCTAGGATTATAGGCATGCGCCACCACGCCTGGCCTGAGATCAGTCTTTAAAATGACTGTAGCTTGCTGGGCATGGAGGCGCACGCCTGTAATCCCAGCACTCAGGAGGCTGAGGCAGAAGGATTGTTGCGAGTTTGAGGCCAGCCTGGGCTACAAAGTGAGCTCAGAGCCACTTTGCACAGCGAGACCATGTCTCAAAAAGACAAAAAAAAAAAAAAGTTAAAAAGTGTGTAGCTGTCTTTAAGCCATAACATAAAAAGTGAATGCAACCCTGTAGACACTGAACTGGGATCCCAGGCTCAGATTGGAAATGCCAGGTGTGGGCGCAGTAGGAGGTGCGGTCGGCTGTGTCCTCTGCTCTCCCGGAGCCCCTGCTGCTGCCGCAAGTGCAGGGAGAGGCTTTCTTGAGGAAGTCCAGGAGGGTGCAGAATGGGGCGCAGGCTGGCTCAGCATGGGTGCGTGCCAGTGTGGGACACACAGTGTGTGCACGGAGCATCCATCGTGACCTCACGGTCTTCATAAATGATTTATTTTAACCTGAGTCTTTCTTCTGGTTTAGGGTAGGTGTCCGGATTTTAATGTGTGTGGTTTTGCAGGTCTCCTTACCTTTTCCTGTGTCTCTTCTCGGGTTCTGTGGGTTTGTGCATCTGATGTGTTTAGTTAATGATGTGTCATTCTTAGGTTTATTTAATGCCTTTCTTTAAAAAGATTGTCTTTCTGAGGCTGCTGTCTCTGTGAGATGGATGCTGTTACCCCAGTGTTCTTTGATGTCCCTTTCAAAGGCAAGTTGCCACTTGTCACTTCCCCTGAAAGAGTAAATATCGTAACTCGCTCACATTCTCGTGCTTCATTCCAGTGAAGCCCTCTGAGGTACGGGTGCTGCCGCCTCTGCCCTGACCTTGGCAGCAGCCCTTGCCACTGGCTCGGCCCGAGCCCTCCTGGTGGCAGCAAGGACGGACACTCAGCTTCTGCAGCTGGCGTCTTCCCTGCGGCTGCTCGCCGCGCTTGCCGTGGAGGCTGGGCAGACCCCACCTGTGGAATGTCCCCTGCTGTGAGCACCTCGGGGCTGCACTGCATCCCAAGCAGAGCAGGCCTTAGACAATGGAAAGGCTGGTACTACATCCTCACAGGGCTGGCACTGCCCTCAGCCCAGGAGCCTTGGCAGCATGCAGTGGTACCTTGGTGACTGTTGTCAGGGTTTGCTAGGGGAACAATTTAACACAGAACACATAATTTATAGGATTATTTTATAATATTCACCCAAAGAGTCAAAAGCAGAGGAGTGCAAGAGATCTGTCCATGTGCTAGAGCACCAGAGAATCCAGCTGAGGGTCTGGATCCCATGGCAGTGTCCTGCGTGAGTCCAGCCAACAACCTACAACCCATGGCAGTGTCCTCCAAAAGTCCAGCTGGAGGCCTAGAAGCTGCACAGTGTCTCATGTAAGTCTTTCAAGGATCTGCACTGGGAAGACCCAAAGGTCAGTGGTGGAAGCTAGAAAGTCTGTGCCAGCGGAATGAAGGATCGGCCAGCAGGTGGAGGGATCTGCACTGGAGCCAGGAAGTGATGCTCAAAGTAAGGACTAGAGCTCCTCTGGAAATTACCGCAGGCATCCCCAGCAACAGCCAGGTCCGAGCTCCTCTGACAGTAGGAACAGCTGAGGTCGTAGCGGGAAAGCCAGCGCGACGTTTCTCCAGGAGGATAAACAGCCCACCATCTTGCCCTCCAGTGCTCCTTTCGTGCTGCTGGCAGCAGTCCTTCGGTGGGCCTTCACGCCCAGCACCACACTAACTCAGTTCAGTTGGGAGTGACGAGTTGACCACCATTGTCAGTCCGCCACTGTGACTCCCTCCCTCCCAGGAGCCCCTCCAGCAGCGGGAAGCAGTGGGCACTGGCCGCGGCAGCCTCTGCGCTGACCCAGTCCTCAGCGACCCCTGTGGGTCTGTGTGTGAGTGGGGGGCGTTGTTCTGCCGGGGATGCAGTGTGACCTGAACCAGCCCTGCCCGCCAGGAGCCGGCAGTGTTGGGGCAGAGCTAAGCTCCCTGGGTGTCTGGTCTTTAGCCCCCTGGCCCTGCGGGGCATGGACAGCATCTTATCGACAGGTTATAGACTCTGACCGTGCCGTGGCTCCTCATCTCTTAAGTTCAGTAGCTGACCAGTTAATCTACCACACATAGGGTCTCACGATGTAGCCCAGGCTGGACTTGAACTTGTGGTGATCCCCCTGCCTCAGCCTCCTGAGTGGTGGATGATAGGCCTGCACCACCATGCCCCACTACCATCTGCATTCTCTAAGGGTGGGTTTGCTGGTGACAAATGCTGTTAGTTTCTCTTCCTCTGAGAATATCTTTATTCCCCTTTCACTTCTGAAGGATGTGTCGTCTCCGTGTAGAGGACGCATGGCGGGAGCCCTTTTCCTCCAGCACTTGAAAGCTGTTGGCCTTTCTTCTCCAGCCTTCATGGTTTGGGGTGAAATTTCGTCCTATCACAAATGTGTTTCTCTAGATGAGGTGCAGTTTTAGCCGTATAAAGATGTTTTCTTCGTCTCAGCTCTCTGAAGTTTAATCATGGTGCCTGGGTCAAAGCAGGAGATGGGCCGACGGGGGCCGAGGTCAGGGTGGTTGTGCTTGGATGGAAGAAGGGCCAGCAGGGGAGGGCATAGCTCTCAGGAGGGGCAGTGACGGAGCCCTGGGCCCTCCCACTTCCTCGCGGCGAGGCTGACTGTGAACCCCTGGCCCTCCTCAGTGGCAAGGTAATCAACTCACATTGCTCTAAGATGTGATCCCTGTCTTGGTTTGGCCCAGCAGAGTAGGAAGCAGGCGGCTCTTACGCTCATTCCACACAGAGCACCCACCAGGCATGGCGTCCGTTCTGGGCTCCAGGTCTGCACCCACCAGGCATGGCGTCCGTTCTGGGCTCCAGGTCTGCACCCACCAGGCATGGCGTCTGTTCTGGGCTCCAGGTCTGCCTTCTGTCACCTGAGGTGCTGTGGGCCTTGGGACAACATACACCATTCCTCTCTGCCTCCATTCCCTTCCCTTGTCTAGAAACTGGAGATTAATGCAGTAATACTGTATTAGCTTCTCACTGCTGGGATGAAATACCTGGCATGCCCAGCTCAAAGGAGAAAAGGTTTAACTTGGCTCAGGGTGTGAGAAGGTTCAGTCCATGGTCAGCTGTCCATAGCAGAAACAGCATGACGCGAGGGTGTGGAAGAGGAAGGCTGCTCACCTCGTGGGGTTGGGAAGGGAGCTGGATAGGAGGAGGCCAGTGACCAGGTATGGTCCCCACAATCGTGCCTCCCAGTCCACCCAGAAGTGTGCCTTACTGGTCTCCTAGAGGTCTCTCAAGCCAAATTGAAATCAAGGCTTACCATCACAGGCTAGGCATGGTGGTGCACACCTGTAATCCCAGCACTTGAGAGGCTGAGGCAGGAGGGATTGCTGCAAGCCTGGGCTACATAGTGAGTTCAA